ATCAACCCCAAGCAGTGGTATAGTTTTACTGATACCGGTATTGACACATATGAGGTTAAGTAACTGGCTCAGATCATTCACCTGAAATTCAAGTCCAAGCCCTTGCAGGTAGGGCTGACTACACGACCACACCACCTATAGCACATAAAGCATTACAACATCTTAGTCATGATCGTCACTAATTTCAAAATATTTGGTAAATAAGCTGACTCCATGAGGTGCCCCTTATGTGGGCTTCCAAGAACCAGCACATCCAGGAGCAGACACACCAGAAAAAAATGGAAATTCATGGAAGGACTTTTGCCAAAGTCTGTTGTGAGGCTGGAAAGGACTACTTCAATGAGATGGCAATGCTGTCACTTGTACCTTTTCTCTGTGACATTAATGATACTTCATGTACTCAAGGTAGAAGGCATAGCAGAAAAAAATCTATAGAAGATTTTCAATTCAATTGAGAAGACAAGGAACACACCTGAAACAGCCAACACAAGGCAAAAAAGAAAAAAGAAAAAGAAAAGGATAATTACATGCTAAGTCACATGACAGGGTGGATAACTGGTGTAGAGGTCACCATTGGAAGAACTGCCAGCTCTGAAGTAACACAGAATTCTCTTTTTTTCTTTCTTTTTTTCTTTGGAGAGGTTTTTGTTATAGGGCACGTGCACTCGCCAAAAAGACAGAGAAAGACAGAGAGAGAGAAAGCTAGAAATCACCCCCCAGGGGGTATGGCCATGCTGCAATCCCTTCTCCTCCATTCTCCTCTCGTGATCTTGGGCATGCACGCACACGCACCCAGCCTAAGTTTAAGCCACCGGGTCTGGGACTCGAACAGCGGTTGACTAACATGGGAGTCCAGCGACATGGCCATTACGTTAACTGCTGGTCCCAAAGTATCACAGAATTCTGAAGGGACAAGAAACAATGCTTGACGGCAGAGACCAACCCCATCATTTCAAGATGAGCGCTGGCAACTTGGCTGAGGTTACATGAGCACTAAGTAGCAGAGGCGGGTAAAGTAACTAAAAAGGCTGATGAAGCAGGTAAGTCTCAGAGAAGCCTTCCGAGGATGATAGGATGAGGGGATGGCACTTTAGATGCAAACTGTGGACAATGACTTTCTTTCCTGGTTTAGAAAAACAAAGAAACAAAAAACTTGCCACACTTCTGATTTTTAAATTGCAAAATGGCAAATAATCTCTGCAGTGAAAAGTCAGATTTAAAATTTAAAAGGAATCTACAAATACCGAACTGTTTGTTTTATTCCGCTCATCATTTTCCAGCATGAGCTATTTTAATGTGTACTGCACCGTTCCCCAAATATGACCAAACTGAGATACACCTATCCACATACATCCCAGGTGTCTTTAGAGGTGAGCACTGGCCGTCACTGGCCTAACACACACCTGGTTTGGACGGAGGCTGATGTTGTAAATTGGTCCATAGGAATTATTTGACCAGTTTAATACTTCATCACGGATACTCTTAAATTTCACATGTAAATCCCCATACTACTCTTTGTAATAAACAGCAGTTTGCTTATGTAAAATCTTGTCAGTCGTCAGATAATAAGGATATGATTAACTCTAGGTGGATTCCTCATAGAGTATCTAAATGTCAACTGAGCAATTTTGGGGGAAAAATCTACCTGAATGCTGATAGGAAGGTATAAACATAGGAAATCCAGTTTGGGTGTTTTTTGGTAATTTGCTAGAGGGTACATGTGCTCATTGCAGACAGAAGGAAAATGAGAAAGCATCCCCCAGGGGGCATGGCCACACTATACTCCCCTGTCCTTCATTTGCCTCTCAGGATTTGGGGTATGCATGTTCCTCAAGCCACTGGGTTTGAGATTTGTGCAGTCAGTCACATGGAATCTAGCCACCTTACCCACCATGCCACCAGCTGATCCTAAACTCAGTTTAAACTAAAAATCTTCTATAGTAAAGAGAGTAGCTCGGAACATAAAAAAATTGATTTCAAATATGTTTGTTCATATCTCTGGAAAAAACATGGTAGGAGGGCCAGCCCTCAGTAAAGAGCTTAAGGGACCCAGATTGCACCTACCAACCACAGTTCAACCTGGCCCCAGCAGCTTGAAGAACATGCTAGGTGCATGCCCAAAATCCCGACAGGAAGGTGAAATGGAGGAAAAAAGATTATGGCAAGACCACGCCTCATTGGTGGAGCTTCCTCTCTCTCTCTTTCTCCTCCTCTCTCTCTCTCTCTCTTTCTGGTAAGCACACATACACTCTTTGGCAATTGAAATACAAATAAGAAAAAGAAAATAAGGTGGGATAATGAAAAGCCAATTTTCATGAATCCCTTTTTAAAAAGTTTACAAGAGGCAAGCCAACCATTTGGCATGGTAGTTAAGGCAACTGGATCTTACACGATTAACTACAAGTTTGTGTCCTAGACTCGGTAGCTTGACAAGCAGTGGGGCTCATGTGCATGCACGCCCAAAATCCCAAGATAGGGATGGAGAGGGGATTGTTGTGTGGCCATTCCTCCTGGAAGGCTATTTCTCATTTTCTCTCTTTCTTTCTCTGTCTCTATTTCTCACTTTCTTTCTCTCTCTCTTTCTCTCTCTGTCTCTCTCCAGTGAGTGTATGCACCCTGAATACACACACACACACACACACACACACACACACAGAGCCAGATGCACAGCAGAAAAACAGGATACTGTGTGGCTAATCTCCATGGCAAGATTCTTAGTTTGCTTCTGGAGACCTCCCTGAACAAGTAGGGTAGGCCCACAATGTGGGGTTGGCTGAAGCTGGGAATGAATCACAGCACGAAGACCCTATAGGGGTGCTGTCTCTTGTCTCTGTCTCTCTTCCTCTCTCTCTTCTCATGGGAGAAATGAGTAAATATTTTAAAAAATTTTTAAAATAACTATTATGGTCCCTAAGTACAACTAAACTCTTATTTTTGTGAGAAATATAAATCATTTTAATTTCTAAGACAAAGCACACAGGCAGATAGTTATATTTTTGTTATTTATTACATTTTTTTAATTTATTCAATTTTATTATTTTTATTATTCATTAAAATAATTCCTGTGGCTGGGACCAGCAGATGGCATAATGGTTATGTCACTGGACTCCCATATAGTTGACTGCAGTTCAAGGCCCTGACCCAGTGACTTAAAAAACTCATGCCGAGTGTATGTGTATACATGTTCCAGATCCCAAGAAGAGAATAGAGGAGAAGGGACTGTGGCATGGCCATCCTCCCTGGGGCGTGATTTCTCGCTTTCTGTCTCTCTGTTTTTCTGGAGAGTGCACATGCCTCATAGCAAAAATCTCTCTCTCAAAAAAAAAAAAAGGTAAAAAATAATTCCTGTGGATTTGTAAACACCTATTAAGGTTAGATTAGTCTTCCTCTGCCTTCAAACTACTGCTAGGGAGTGTATTTTCATTCCTCAAAAATTATTTCAAGAGGTATTATACCCTCAATTAAATATACACCATTCAAGCTAGCAATACTAAACAAAAACTAGATACGGTTCTTTTTTGTTATTTTTTTAGCTCATTTCATTGCAAACTCTAGTATAATTTGTTAACCTACACCACAGACTGTAGAAATAACTAACATGAGCTTTCAAAGATATAAAACAGGCTGATAAATCACAGGTAATCAATATGAAGTCCATAAAGAAAGTCATTTTCTAATAAGTATCAAAACCAAAAGTATATAAAACTCAGGTGCTAGCTGAGATTCTTAAAAATCACAGGCAAATTTTGTTGTATGCCATACATACATACACACACACACACACAAAGTTCCACACAAAACCCAATTCCCAATTTCAACATTTCAGACCTACAAACAAGTATCAAAGCCACCCACAGACATGTTAAGGTGCTTTCCAAAGTCGTAGGCACTTTAATTCAATGCAGAAGAGTTAAGAGTCAAAAATGGATAAAAAGAGAAACAGGAAAAAATGAAGATGTTATGCCATTTGTCTATCAATCTTTCACAGAAACCTAGCAATTTCTCTATATCAAACAGAATAACTCATATGCAAAAGGTGCATATTTGAATGCAATCATTTATTAGTATGTATTCTACTTACTTTGCTTTTTCCCATTTATAAGCTTCATTAAAGACACCCAAAAAGAGGCAACCAGTGGAATGAGGTTCGGCTCAAATAAAAACACAGCTGTAAACTTGACCTACAAATTTACATCCCAGAACGTCCCGAGGGGAAACTACCCTTTACAAACTACCATTATATATACAGCTTTAGATTGTGAAATAACGCACTTCGCTTTCTGCCCTGTTACAATTACAAACCCTCAACTTTACCCACCCCCCCAAAAAAAAAATCCACCTCCAATCTTCATTGGTCCACATAGTTCCGGCCCACATGGTATCAGTGGGTGTGTTCCTTCCAAGAGGCCCTTTCATTGGCTGCAAAGAAACAGCGTTTAATAGGCCGTGATTTTGGGGGCGGGGGTTGCCAGACTCCACGCCTCCAGACTTGCGCTCGCCAATAGACCGGTAGGGCTGGCTGCTACTCTGCAATTCAAAGGGCAAGCTGGTCCAAAGAGCTGCAACCCGAGAGACGCGCTCTGAGGAATGAGAACGGGAACAAGAGACTGGAGCCTCGGTTATGCCGCCGGCTCTGTCCCCATCCCCGGATCCCACCAAATGTTCACACATGCATTTTCCCAGCGACCAATTAGAATGGGTAGGCAGTGCAGTGCGTTCGCCTTTTACAGAGCTGTAACCCAAGGCCCGAGCTCAAGCTTCGTATCCAATCGGCCCATTCTGCAGACAGGAGCGAGCAAAGGGCAGGCTCAAGCAACGGTATTTAGTGCTTGGCGCCGCTGCGTAAAGAATCAGTCCCGGGCACCCGCTCTGTGCATTCCCTGTACCGCAGGCACAGGGACGCAGGGCGCGCGCTGCGGCGTCCGCCCCCGCCGCTCTGGGTGCCGGCTCCGGGCGCTGCGCCTGCCTCGAGCCCGCGCTTCCCTCCCGGCGGGACTTACGCGGCCTGTTCCTCCTCCCTGAGTCCATCCTCCTCCGCAGCCGACATTTCTTGGCCGGGGAGTCGTGCAGAGGGATCGGTTGCTGCGGCTGGAGCTCCGGCAGGAGTGCGAGGCGCTGGGGCGCCGGGACGCCGCCGCTTACCGGGCCTCGGCTGCAGACGACCGCCAGACGGGCGC